GCTACAGAGCCACGCTGGAGTCACAGCAGCTGTCTGCCCTCCTGCATGACTGTAAAATGATGGGCTTCCCCTGCCCCCCACATATTAAAAGTGTGTGTGTGTGGGGGGGGGAGGAAATCTTATCTTCTAATTGAGTAAATAAGGTAAGTAAATATGAAGTCCGTTTCAAGAAATTATTTGGGCACTAAAATGGAATTGGTGACAGTTAAGCAGATAGAGGGAAGTGATCCAAAAATCAAATAAATGATGCAAAAATTAACACGGAGGCTATTTTCATGTATTCTGGTGACTGTAAATAAGATATACCTGAATCACAGGGAACAAAGTAGAATGATCAACATGTTTTGTTTACTGTTGTAGTACCCCCCCCCAATGTCATACAATTGTCCTGCATAGGAATAAACTCTTTGGCATCAAATTCTGTGCACTATTTTAAAATTAAGTTAAGGGCTGCTATGAGCATTAATTGTGTATCCTGCCTTAAAAGCCTGCTCTAGTGATTTCAGAGACATGTAATGGCATTGTATACCATATTTACTGGATTCCAAGAAGAAGTTTTTTAATCCCATTTAACATGGGAAAAAAGCCCCTCATCTTGGAATTGAGTACAAGGCAGCGGGGTGGGGGAGGAGGAGGCAGGCAGCAGCTGTGGTTGGAGCTCAGTCTTGGGGTTGGAGCTACAGCTGCCTGCCTCTCCCCACCCGCTCCCACAGCCCTTAGGTCCCACCCCGCTGTCACCTCCCTTTCTTCCACAGCCTCTGGCCCCTGTTCCCCCTCCCTCCTCCCAGCCTTGGGAGCACAGCCCCAACCCAGCCAGGTAGCAGGCTGGAGTGGGGATGGAGCCTGCCAGCACCAGAGCAAAGGTAAACAGGGGAATGGGGAGAGGGCAGGCAGAAGGGGGAGCAAGTAGTGGGGTGGACAGGCAGCAGGGGGAAAGCTGCTTGACCCCATAACCACCTACCCCAATCGCCTGCCCTCAACCACTCTCCCTGCTGCAGTGGTGGTAGGGGGACACATTTAAAAGATGACCCCCCAATAATTAGATTCTATACATAGAAATATTTATAAATTTGCTATAATTTTCTATGTACAGAATCTAATTATTGGGGGGGGTCATCTTAAATTCAGGTATATACAGTAAATTAAAAGAGTAGATTTTATTGGAATAAACTCTGGAATACCAGTGTTTTGGATTTAGAAAAAATGCTTTCCACACTTGTAGGTTTGATTGCTAAGACTTTTCATTAGAACTCAGTTTGGTTATGTGGCAGATTCTTAGGAAGTACAAATTATAAGGTCTAGGATTGTGTTGGATTTTGGAACTCTCTCTCATTCCAGAACTTTATGCCTTTTGTACTGTGATTTCATTTCAGCATTATGAACTATGTACCAGTCACAGATTAGGAAGCAAAACTTCAGGCTGGAGATGCTGAAAATATTGTCATTTATACACCAAGTTATTTGTTTCTACTGCTGCTAAGATTTATTTTCCAAACTGGGGAATCATTGGGAGGGTTAATATTGTTATCTGCACTAACAAAAGTTAAATGATCAAGGAAGGAAAGCCTGCTCAAACATCTCTTCCCAAAGAGATGGAAAAGATCCATCTCCCTACTTTTTAGCAAGTAAAGAAACAACCACAGGTGGAACTATGGAACAATGACCTAGTAATGAGAGCTGCTCCAAAAACATCAAGAGAACTACACATGCTCCTGAGGCAATCCCCCCCCCTCCCCCCCCGAGCTCTTAAAATGAACGG